GTTTTAAGGCCGATACCGATAGGGGGCCCATTATATCCTGCATCCCGAGTAATAAGGTCTTGTCCTGGATTCCAATAACACACTACAAAAATGATCTTTAAATTGGTGAAAATGTCTTATAATAAGTGTATTTACCCTTAATTTAGTAGGTAAATAAGAAAATCTCCCAGCTGAAGGAGCATTTTTATCCTTAAAATCTGATTATTTGATATTATTCTCTTGAAAGAGGAGACTTTTTTCCTTATTTTAATTGTATATTTTCTTATTCCATTTGCAAAGTATCTCACTTACCTGCTCAGTTAAAGAAAAAATGCAATTATTTTACTTAGATTTCAGTTTTTGCTTGAAATTTAGATGTTTAAAGTCTTTTACTAAATGCCCTATAAATGGTTAACCCTTTTATTATCAATCCAGACTTTTCTGGTGTCTAACGTGTTTTTTAAGGAAGTAGTTCAGTTCAGTTATGATCAGACTTCTCAGGATAAAGATGGATTTAGCGGCTGGATGTTCCATCCGTTAATCCTCTCACCTCCCAGAATCCTTCCTGTCTCCCTTCCTGCTCCTGATGTTTAGGATTTCTCTGCTGATTAAAGTCCCGCCTTCATCAAAGGATCCTCTCACCTCGTCCAGTTTAGAATCCGTTTCCACAGGCCGGAAAAACATGTTTGAACTTTTTAATTAGTAAATGAAATGTGACTGTTTAATGTAATAAAAGTGATTAAAAAGAATAATTCAGCCCAGCTCTGCGCCGCCGTCTCTGCTGATAATCTGGATTATTTCATTACATGCTTCAGATGTCGGTCATTAACCTCGACGGGCTCGGGTGCAATTAACTGGCCGCAGTCCTGCAGCTTTATATCAACACTGTGACTGTTTCCAATTACAGCCGCATCTCCAAATGAGATGAAGCGCCTCAGTTTGGCTGATTTATAGCCGATATATTAGCAGCATTAATTAGAGGCCGTGCAGCTGCGGCGTGTGTTGGGAGGAGATGAATGGTGCAGCCGCCGCTTCCTCTCTGAGGGCCGCGTGGACAGCTGTGTGTGCGTCTAATGCCTGTTGCATTGTGGGAGTCCATTATGCTGTCGCCTGCTGAATGGCTCCCATTGACTCGGCCTTGACATTATAAGCTGCCCGCTAATCTCTTCACTCCATATATTAGCGATGCTCAGCCACTCTGCGGGCTTTCTTCTTCAACGTCTCAATCCGTCAGTAAATCATCGTGTGCAAAGAAAAGCTTTATTCTGTCCTGAACATCTGACAGCAGCGCTGATGAAGACGTGTGGAAGGAAATGCAGCTCTGCTTTATGATAAAAATATTAATTGTCATATCCAGTAATTCACAGTAAGGCAAACGCAGGAAGCTTTTATCTGGAGTTTTCTTTCTGCTTCAAATCCTAAGATCAGCAGCACTGTCGGGTAAGGTGGAGGTTCTGTGGTGCTGGGGGACGGGGCCTCTTTAAAGAAAGACTCGTCCCTAAATCATCTGTTTTTTGTTCTGATAAACTATATATACACTCACCGGCCACTTTATTAGGTACCCCATGCTAGTAACGGGTTGGACCCCC